CAGAAATCTGAGGGTAAATGTTCAATAGAAAACCAGGCTATTTCTTTGAACCCAACAAGATAAAAGGATGGTTTAAACTAGAAGGAGTTTTTGACACCATGTCCATTAGCAAAAATATGTGTATGTGATTGTGTGTGGAGTATATGGAGAGAGGGTCTTTGCCAGTGCACGCCTTACCCCATAGATCTTCTGAGGTACTTCATTCCCTCTTCACTCCCCACTTTTCCCAAATACTCCCATTTGTCACTTCTGTATAAGCTGAATTGGGGAGTCCTGGAGGCATTGACCTCAAAGCCTCAGTGCAAAACTGTTTTTCCAAGTTTGCCACTGAGACCCAGCTCTGCAGAGGAGACCAGTTGCTGAGCTTAATTTAACAACAGCTACGAGTTTTAAGCACTAATTACCTGCCAGCAGTGTGATCACAACATACATGCTAATTTCCTTTTAATTCTCAAAGTAATCCAAGAAGCCTTTTTACCAAGGGGGAAATTAAGGCCCAAGGAGGAATAATAACTTCCCAAAAGTCACAGAGTTAGTGGGAAGCCAGCAAAGACAGGCTGGCTTTTGAACCCTTTTGATCTAACTCCAGAACTAACTATTGCAGCAGCAACACTGCCTCTCCATGGAAACAGGTACCCTTAACTGTTCACTGTGTGCTTGGTGGGAAATCCGGAGGATGAAAGTTCAAGACTAAATTACAAAGAGTCAATTGGTCATGTAAGGTCTACTCAGGGCAATCAAGAAAATTCAAATGGGAAAGTAAAATTCCATGATGTCACAGGCTTTGGGGCCAAACAACCACAGGTGAAACCTCTGTCTCTCACTCACCTATTCCCTCTGTCTCACAAGCTCTCTCTAGTGTGTACTCTAAGAGTCACAGCTTCTTTGAAGCTCTGCACCCTGCTGTAGATTTCCTGGGACAGGATGGTCAGAAACTGCTCTAACATCAGCAACTCCAGGATCTGCTTCATGGTGTGCATCTCAGGCCAATGCCACCCACCCATGGCAAAGCTCTAGGAGCCACCTAAGGGTTTATCCAGGCACCAATGGCAGAACCCACAGAAGTGCAGGTGGGAAGCTTCCATTCTGTGCCTTTGGTAGAGCAGGGACAGCTTCTGGCTCCAGGTGTAGAAACACCTTCGGTTTCACAATCAGGAGCCCTTTTTGTTCCTGGGAGCCTGGGTTAGATGCCATTATCAGATTCCTGGACCACTTTGGCCTTGAAACCAATGGCAACTGCCAGCACAGGTGCCCCCAGCACCCCTAGCAACAATAAACGGCATATGCAGGAGCCGGTATGCCCAAGGCTCCATATTTCAGCCCATAAGCCCAACTAGCCCTGGTGAAGTTGTTTCCAACACCTTGGCTTCTGTGGGTTTGGGAAGGTGGTGCACCCGCCCACTTTTCTTGTTTCCATCAGGGCCTTTGGAAATCACAATGGGAGGCAGCTCTCTGCACTCTGTCTTGAACCACACAGGACTAGATCCTGCTCTCACACAGAAAGTACCAGCACTAAAGTTTGATGTCCAAAAGCCAACAGTACCAGCTACAAACCAAAGTGACAACAACTTTACCAAACATATAGATGCCCTACAACACACCACTGACCACCTGGGCTGGAAAAATTGACTTCAAATTGGAAGACAAGAGGGGTGGGCATCAGGCAAACCCCCAAAACCCGAGAACCCTCTGGTGGTGGCTTAAAAGCGACTGGAATACCAGGGGTAGGTAGGTAGAAGCTCTGGTCTTTAAGCAAAGAAAATACAAAGGTAGCTCAAGGCCATTATGGGCTGTGAGCCAAAGAACAGAGTCACAAAAAAGCTTATCAAAATGCAAATCTTGCCTGGCAGGTGTGGCTCAGTGGTTGATCATCATCCCATGCACCAAGAAGTTACAGGTTTGATCCCCATCTGGGCACATACCCAGGTTGTGGGCCAAATCCCCAGTGGGGGATATGCAGGAGGTGGCCAATCAATGTTCTCTCTCATCGATGTTTCTATCTCTCTCCCTCTCCCTCTCCTTTTCTCCCTCTTTAAAATCAATAAAGTAAAGAAATTTTAATGCAGATTTTAACCGTGTCTGGTGTGGCTCATTTGGTTGGAGCATAGTGCAGTACTTCAAATTCTAGAACTATGGCAAGATCCAGTGCCTCAGAGTATTGGTAAGGGGGCCCAGAAATATGATTTTTTTAACAAACTCTCCCTAGAAATTCTGCCTACATATAGAGGTTTGAAAACCACTGGCGACATCATAACAGATTTACAGGTCAGTGTGGACTCCAAGAAGAAATTTATCTGCTGAGCTGGACTCCCCACGGTCAACCCAGGGCCCAAATTTTATAAATAATAAGAGCGTAGCAGCTATTTGCTGACAGGGGCTTCCCCAGGAGAGTTCAGACTGAACACTGACCTTTCCTTACAATGCCTGGTTTGTTTATACCATCTGAGCCAACCACTACAGGGAAACCCTGTGTTCCTCTTTTCACCATTGAAATGAGAAATGTCCTGTCCAATCAGAACTGCATATTTGAATATTTCATTTACATAAAGCAGACCTAATTGAGAACTTGAGCAAGAACTTTCACTATAAAAAATAGCCTCCTCTTTGTCTCAGTGGAATAAAATTTAAGTTGCTACCTAAATCTGTGTCTCATGAGCTGCAGCTCCTATTGGGGCAAATAAAAGCCCTTTATTCTTTATTACAATCTAAAATTTATTTTGGTTTACATCCTCAACCACTCTTGTACTAATGGGAGAGAAGCCCTAGCTAGGATCAAGAACAGGCAAGGCCCCACCCAATCCCCTGGGATTGAGAAGCCTCTATGACCGGAAATGGAATCTCTTCAAAAGAAAAGCTCCAGGCCCTCCCACGTCAGCGACCTTCTGTCCACCCCAGACCCACAGGGACCAGTGTCCTGCGGCCTGCTGGGAGTTGTAGTCCACTGCGCAGCCCTGCGCCTGCGCACTGGATACTGCAACGAATGAGCTGTGAGAGCCTTGGGCGCCCAGGCGGTGAGTCCCCGTGCGTCCGGAGGGCGTGGCCGTCCCTGGGGCACTAGGAGTGGGGTTTCCATCCTGTTTGGGCTTCAAAAACGGACTGCCTCCAGGCCTGACCAGGCGGCGGGCTCCTGTCCCGCCTGGGACCCCGCCGGCCGCTGCTCCTCGCAACACGGCCTGGCCTTCCCGGGGGTCCTCCAGGGCTGGCGTCGCCCCTCCAGGAAGCGACGCATCTTCGCCTGAGAGAGTGCTGGAGCCCCGCCCCTGCCACCAGCATTCGATTTTAAAACGGCTTCTAGAAGGTTTGGGACTTGTCCCCCTAACCTTGGCCCCAGTGCCCTCCTTTCACCGCGCCCCGTGCCTCTGTATCCATTATCTATATCCACCGGCCCAGTGAGAGCGCGTTCACTGAGGAGGGTTCGGACAGAAGCCATCAGGACTGTGGGGAAGTGGAGTTTTCATCCCGAAGGGCCTACGGAGGGAAACCCGGAGGGTCAATTCCGTGGGAGACGTGGGGTAAGGTTTGGGTCGGTCAGGGAAGACCTGCCCAGCTGTGAGGCTGCAGTAAGTGCAAAGAGGGCCCCCAGCCTAAACCAGCAGGGTTCCTGGGTGCCCTCCAGCCACACTTAGGTGCCTAGACGGGGTGGGGTGGGCTGGGGTGGGCTGGGGTGGGGGATAGAAGCTTCCTAGGAATCAGTTCTCCCGAGCAGAGCTGTCTGTCTCTGTGCCCCACATACTGCTGTTCGCTTTCCGTGCAACTGGGTTCCCAAAAGGCAGTTTTAAGAAGCAGATGTTACAGAGAGAGGCACTGGGTGTCATTCAAGAAACTAGCCCAGGGGTGAGATGGAAACAGAGTGAAGTTTTTGGATCACTGGGCAGGAAGAGAGTCGTGAGTACTTCTTTTTTTCTTTCTTTCTTTTTGATGCCTTCCAGGAAGAAGACAGGTACCTGAGCTGTGTAGGCAAATGGAGAGAGAGAGAGAGAGAGAGAGAGAGGACCCATAGCACACATAGCACATGTGCAGATACCAGTCTTCACAACTGTGGAGACATGTATGTGACCTCAGAGAGTGCACTAAGAACATTTGGACGTTTTTAGACATGAGCATTGCAGGAGTCTGTGGCTTCCAACCTTATTGCCCTTTCCCTCTGGCATTTGCTATGGGCCCTGGGACATGTTATTCAGTTCTCCAAAGCCTCAAGCCTCCATGCCCTCGTCTGTATTCAGGGCATGAAACTAGTACCCACCTCCTAACATTGGGTGGGGGCTAAATGAACTAATGTATACATGAGGCTTGGAACAGCACCGGGCATTTAGTGTGCTGAACGTGATAACTGTCCCTCCTTAATGCAGACCAGATTCCTGATGGCCTGCCCTGTGCAGTGTGTTTTTCTCATGAGAAAGCCACTTGGAATGATGCCATTGCATGAGGAGGTTCATGGTGATGTTGGCTGAACTACACATACCTGAAGTGGAGAAGAATGAGGGATTGATGAGTTGCTGCCTTTGCAGGCCATGGCTCTTGCTAAGATGCCCATAATTGCAGGTGACTGAGGGTTACTCAAAGCTAGGTGAACTCCCAGGGTTACTCACCTCTATTGTAAGTATTGCTCCCTCATATTTCTTCTTTGACTTACCTATATTCAGAAACACAAGAAAATTGTTATTAGACTGGAAGTGCACATATAGACCACCAGATCTATAGGGGTTAATTTAAGAGAAGGAATTCTTAGCCCTGGGTCCAAAGAATTCTATAAAAGCTGTTCAATAGAACTTCCTGCAACAGTGTCTCCTGAACACTTGATATATGAATAGTATGAATGAGAAATTCATTTTTATATTTAAACAATTTAAACTTAAACTGCCACATGAGACTGTTGTCTACCATATTGGACAGAAGAGTTCTAGAGGGTCCATGTATGATCTTGAAGATTTTGTGCACTTTTGTCACTGGACGCAGAATTTGAGGTGTTATGTGTATTTTTCTTGGAAGTGAGTCCATAGCTTTCATCAGATTCTCAAAACCACCGAAAGGACTACAATCTGCTACTTTAGAGCTTTGCTGGAAAGCAAGCAATTAAGGTAGATAAGGATGCCCTCTGGTAATCACTGCTGTTTCTCCTTTCTCATTTGCCCTTTCCTCAGCTTTAGATCCTCTACCCAAGAAACAAATTGGAGTCTGAGACTTGAGGCCCAGATAAATTGGACACTGCTTGAAGAGGGCAATGGCTGTTGCCTTGGGTTGTGCAATCCAGGCTTCCTTGAATCAGGGTTCTGTGTTTCAAGAGTATGATACTGACTCTGAAGTCTTCCGTCAGCGCTTCAGGCAGTTCCAGTACAAAGAAGCAGCTGGGCCTCATGAAGCTTTCAACAAACTCTGGGAGCTTTGCTGTCAATGGCTGAAGCCAAAGATGCGTTCTAAGGAGCAAATCCTGGAGCTTCTAGTGTTGGAGCAATTCCTAACAATTTTGCCCACAGAGATAGAGACCTGGGTGAGGGAACATTGCCCAGAGAATAGAGAAAGAGTTGTGTCACTGATAGAAGACTTACAGAGAGAACTTGAGATACCAGAGCCACAGGTGAGAAAATAGTTTGGGATCTGGGTAATTATACCAAAAGAAGTAGCAGACACATCTGGTATTAGATTACCATTTTGTCTTTGTCTCAAGGTTTCCCTGCAGTGATTTTCACATTTTCCTTTTGTTGGAATTGGCACATGGGTCAGTGATTCTTAACTATTAAACCCAACTCCTTAAATATTTGGTAATATCCCCTTTACTATCCTAAGATCAAATTTATCCTGTAATCTACTTATATACACAAAAAATCATCATGTAATAAGTGCTCTATGGTCTGTGATCCAAAAGCAGCCTAAGGCCTGTTTTTATGCAGCCCATGAACTAATAATGGTTATTACTTTTTTAAAGTGTTTTAAAAAACAGAATAGGCAGCAGACCAACAAAACCCAGAAAGCCTAAAATATTTACTATCTGGCTCTTTCCAAAAAGATCTGGCAACCTAAGTCAAATAGACTCTAGAAGGAATATAAAGAAATAGGAAAGTAGGTTATTGTAAACTAAAACATATTTTAATGTGCACATGTCTGGGCTTAAGTTCACCAGAAGACCACATGAAGTTGTCAGATGCTTGCCTCTCTGCACAGACTCACTGTGAAGGCAGAAATTCAGACTGCTACAGTTTAAACACTGAATGGTGTTGCTGCTGGTCATGTGATTTTTCAAAGTCACGAACAACTTTGGTGAATGTGAACAATTAGTAATATAGTATTTCTTTGATTTCCAAAGTAGTGCTTTCATAGAAAAGTCAAGTCAAGCTAAAATTTACAGAAATATGTTGTGATTATATGACCAACAAGGTGAGTTTCTTGACAGGTACACTACATTAATGTTTGACGGGTACACTCCAGAGATGGTAGGGACCTGGAACAGTTCTATACTCTGCATTATCTATATTCCCATCTCTGCCCATTAAATTATTTTCTTTAAATTTTTTATTTGAGAAAGAGAAACATTGATTTGTTGTTCTACTTACATTCATTGGTTGATTCTTAAATATATGCCCTGATGGGATCAAATCCATAACCTTGTCATATCGGAACAATGCTCTAACTAACTGAGCTCCCTGACATTATCTATACTTCCATCTCTGCCCACTAAATTCAGATAGCTGCCACCTGCCATCATATCCAAAACACCTCCTGGGAGTAGTGGCCCTGCCCTCTGTTCAGAACCACCTAGTAAAACCTGTTTGGGGTATGCAATAACTGAGTACAGGGCAGCATCTTCGGAGAAGGGAGAAAGTACTTCTAGTCGGGCATTACGGGCACTGGAGTCTTGGGTGTTGATGGCGCTCTGCAGTTAGCCTTGCATGAACAGGAAACTCTTCCAAAGTTTCCTCCCTCCGGGATGGAATGCGTGTATGGTTTCCCTTCCTTTCTGTGTCTCCTTGTTTCCTTGTTTGGCTTACCACAGGAGACTTTTTCCTTCACGTGGTTTAATCCTGCGTTGTCAGTATGGTAGGCAACAACCAAGGGTGGCTCTTGAGTGCTAGAAATATGACTAGTCTAAATTGGGATATGCTGTAAGTATAAAATGCACACCCCATTCAGAAGACTTAGGTGAAATATCTCATTGAAATTATTTATACTGATTACATTATGAAATTATGATATATTGGGTTAAGTAATGCATATTATTAAGATTGACTTTACCTGTTTCTTTTCTTTTTTCATATGACCACTGGAAAATTTAAAATGATTTGGTTGGCTTGCATTATATTGCTACTAGGCAATGCTGGTCTAGATTTTAGAGTAATGGGTTTTGGCATTTTCCCCAGATTGATAGGCAGGAAATACTCTTGGAAGACCTGGCATCAGTTGGGATGGCAGACATACCACCAAACATCCACCTGGAGGTACCCCCACTCCAAGCAATGGGACCTGTTCCTAATGCCCCTGTGGCAGAGGCATGGATCCCACAGGAGCTGAGCTATAGTGCTGCTGGGGAAGACCAGTCCTTTCTGGACCCCGGTAAGGCAAGGGTTTTATTTCTTTTCTTTGATGTGTTTTTTGAGAGTTAGGAGCTCTCAAGGTTGGGTATAGTTAGAAACACCGAATACTGGATGAAAATGGATCACTCTGATGAAGAGGATGTGAGGAAATGTCTCTCTGGGAATAGCTGGCCACAAAGCACGTTTGATTGATTGGGAGTCAAACCCCTTAAGCTAATGATCCTACTCAAGAAACCTATTTTTCTCTCTTTATTTTTTTTTGTGTTCCATAAACATAATCTTAGATTTACTTTTTAACCATTTTTGCATGTATACTTGTGGTAATGAATATATTTATAATGTGAAACCATCACTATTACCCATGTCCACAACTATTTTTATCTTGTAAAATGGAAACTTTATACCCATTTAAACAATAACTGTCCATTTCCACCTCCCTCTAATCCCTGAACCAGCATTCAGTTTTTTGACTCTGTGAATTTGACTGCTCTATGTACCTCATATAAATGGAATAATACAGTATTTGTCTTTTTATGACCGGCTAATTTTATTTAGCATAATGTCCTCAAGGTTCATCCATGTTGTAGTAATGTCAGAATTTTTATTCTTTTAAAATCTGAATAATATTCCTTTGTGTATATATACTGTATTTCATTTATCCATTTTTTATGAATGTTGCTTCTACATTTTAGCTGTCATGAATAATGCTTCCCTGAATATGGGTGTAAATCTCTTTGAGACCCTGCCTTTACTTCTTTTGGGTATATAACCAGAAGTGGAATTGTTTGATCATATGGTTATTCTATTTTTAATTTTTTGAGGAACCACCATACTGTTTTCCACAGTGGATGTACTATTTTACATTCCCATCAACAGTGCACAAGCTTTCCAATTTCTCCACATCCTTGCTAACACTTGTTATTTTCTGGTGGTATTTTTTTTTTTTTTTGGTAGTAGCATTCCTAATGGTTGTCAGGTAGTATCTCATTGTAGTTTTTTTTAAATCCTCAATCGAGGGTATTTTTTAATTGATTTTTAGAGAGACAGAAAAAGAGAGAAACATTGATCAATTGCCTTCCTTATGTACCCCACCTAGGGAAGTAAACCACAGCCTAGGTATGTGCTCTGTCTGGGAATTAAACCCGCAGCCTTTTGGTGTATGGGACAATGCGACAACCAACTGAGTCACCTGGCCAGGGCTAATTGTAGTTTTGATTTGCATTTTCTAAATGATTAATGATGTCAAACATCTTTTCATGTGATTGTTGACCACTTGTATATTTTCTTTTTTTTTTTCCAGTCTGGATGAACACACTTTATTTAATTTTTGTTGTTGTTGTTTTGTATTTTTTACATTTTCATTGAATTTATTGGTGTGACAATTGTTAATAAAATTATATAGGTTTCAAGTGTACAGTTCTATAATATGTCATCTGTATATTGTATTGTGTGCACCACCCCAAGTCAAATCTCCTTCCATCACCATTTATCTTCCCTTTACCTTCTTCTACCTCCCCCCACCCCCTTTCCTTCTGATAATAACCATACTGTTGTCTGTGTCTATGAGCTTTGGAGGCGGGGTTTGCTTAAGAATGTCTGTTCAGTCCTTTGCTCATTTTTTAATTGGGTTGTTTGGTTTTCTTTGTTGAATTTTAAAGTTCTCTATATATTATGGATATTAATCCCTTATCAGATAGATGATTTATAAATAATTTTTGCATTCTGTGGGCTGCGTTTTTACTCTGTTGATACTGTCCTTTTTAAAAAAAATTTTCTTTATTGACTTTAGAGAGAGAGGAAGGGAGAGGGAGAGAGAACATTGATTGGCCACCTCCTGCATGTCTCCTACTGGGGATTGGCCCACAACCTGGGCATGTGCCGGGACCGGGAATCGAACAGGTGACCTATTGGTGCATGGGTCAATGCTCAACCACTGAGCCACACTGGCTGGGTGATACTATCTTTTGATGGACACATTTTAAAATTTTTCATGAAGTACTGTGTCCACTTTTTATTTTATTGCTTATGCTTTTGTTGTCATATGCAAGAAGACATTGCCAAATAAAATACCATTAAGCTTTTGCCTCATATTCTTCATAGAGGTTTATACTTTTAGGTCTTACTTTTAGGTATGTGATACATATTGAGTTAATTTTTGTGTATGATGTTAGGTAAAGGTCCAACTTTATTTTTTTGTATGTGCCTATTCAGTTTTTCCAGTACCATTTCTTGAAAAGATTGTCTTGTCTCCATTGAATGATCTTGGTATCTTTGTTAAAAGTCATTGACCAGCCCGGCTGGTGTAGCTCAGTGGACTGAGCATTGTCCCATGGACTGAGAGGTCCTGGTTTGATTCCCAGTCAGGCCACATGCCTGGGTTGGGGGCTCGATCCCCAGTAGGGGACCTGCAGGAGGCAGTTGACTGATGTTTCTCTCTCACATCAATGTTTCTATTTCTCTTTCCCTTCCTCTCTCTCTAAAAAATCAATAAACATGTTTTTTTTAAAAAGTCACTTGACCATATATTTGATGGTTTTCTTCTGGGGCTTTCTATTCTATTCCATTTGTCTGTATTTCTGTCTTTATGCAAATACCAAACTGTTTTGATTACTGTAACTTTGTAGTAAACTTTTGAAATCAGGAAGTGTGAGTCCTCTGGCTTTGTTCTTTCTTTTCAATATTGTTTTGTCTATTTGAAGTCCCTGGAGATTCCATATGAATTTTAAAAGATTTTTTTTCTTTTTCTGCAAAAAAAAAAAAATGTCATTTGGATTTTGATAAAGATTACATTGACTTGTTAGACCACTTTGGATAGTATTAACATCTTAACAATATTAAATCTTCTACTTCATGAACGTAATATGTATTTCTATTTATTAATGTCATTTAATTTCTTTTACCAATGTTTTGTAGTTTCTATTGTACATTCCTCACCTACTTGTTTAAGTTATGTCCTAAGTCTTTTATTATTTTTGATCTTGTTATAAATAGAATTATTTTCATAATTTCCAGAATTGTTCATTGTTAATGTATCGAAATGGAACTGATTTTTCCATTTTTGTTTTGCATTTTGGTACTTTGCTGAATTCCTTTATTAGTTATAACAATTTCTTAATAAAATCTTTAGGGTTTTGATTAGATCATATAATCTATTAATTGAGATCATTTTACTTCTTCCTTTACATTTTGAATGCCTTTTATTTATTTTTCTTGCCTAATTGCTCTGGCTACAACTTCTAGTACTGGGTTGAATAGATGTGGCCAAAGTAGGCATTCTTACCTTCTTCCTGATCTTAAAGGAATAGCTTTCAGTTTTTCACAATTGAGTAGGATGTTTCCTGTGTTTTTTTTCAATATGGGTTTTATTATGTGGTGGTAATGTACTTCTGTTCCTATTTTGTTGAGTGTTTTTATCATGAAACGATGTTGAAGTTTGTTTAATGCTTTTTCTGCATCCATTGAAATGATCATGTGTTTTTTATTTTTAATTCTGTTAATGTGATGTATTACATTGATTGATTTTCATGTTGAAACATCTTTGTATTCCAGGAACAAATACCTCTTCGTCATGGTGTATAATCATTTTTTAAATCATTTCTTATTTTCCAATTACAGTTGACATAGAATTTTATATTAGTTTCAGGTATATTAGACATTATATAAATTAATAAGTGATCATCCCAATAAATCTCATGCCCATCTGACATAATATTATTAGAATGTTATTGACTATATTCCCTATGCTGTACTTTACATCCCCATGACTATTCTGTAACAATCAATTTGTACTTGTTGATCCCTTCACCTTTTTCACCCATGCCCCCATCTCTCTCCCATCTGGCAACCGTCAAAATGTTCTTTGTATCTATGAAGTCTGTTTCTGTTCTGCTTGTTCATTTATTTTAGTTTTTAGAGTCATTTGTTGATAGATAAGTTTTTATTGCCATTTTATTGTTCATATTTTGATCTTCTTAAAAAATTCTGCCTCTTAAAGAATACCCTTTAACATTTCATGTAACACTGGTTTGGTGGTGATGAAGTCCTTTAGCTTTTTCTTATCTGGGAAGCTCTTGATATGTCCTTTGAGTCTAAATGATAGCTTTTATGGGTAGAGTAATCTTGGTTGTAGGTCCTTGCTTTTCATCACTTTGAATATTTCTTGTTAATCCCTTCTGGCCTGCAAAGTTTCTGTTGACAAATCAGCTGATGGTTTTATGGGAGCTCCCTTGTAGATAACTAACTGCTTTTCTCTTGCTGCTTTTAATATTGTCTCTTTGTCTTTAACCTTTGCCATTTTTATTATGATTTATCTTGGTGTGGGCCTCTTTGGGTTCATCTTGTTTGGGACTTTCTATGCTTCCTGTACTTGTATGTCTTATTTCCTTCACCAGGTTAGTGAAATTTTCTGTCATTTTTTTTCAAATAGGTTTTCTATTTCTTGCTTTCTCTCTTCTTCTAGCACCCTCATGATGTAAATGTTGGTATACTTGAAGTTATCCCAGAGGCTCTTTATACTATCTTCATTTTTTGGATTTTTTTTTTTTTTCTTTTTGCTGTTCTGATTGGGTGTTTTTTGCTTCCTTATGTTCCAAATCACTGATTTGATTCTTGGCCTCATGTATTCTACTGTTGATTCTTTGTAAATTGTTCTTCATTTCAGGTAGGGTAGCCTTCATTTCTGACTGGTTTTTGTGTGTGTATGTGGTTTCTATGTCCTTTTCTGTGCTGTACAAGTTCTCACTAAGATCCTTATTCTCACTAAGTTCCTAGAAGTTCTCACTGAGTTCCTTGAGCATCCTTTTAACTACTGTTTTGAACTCTGGTAGTTTGCTTGCCTCCATTTCATTTAGTTCTTCTGGAGATATTCCCTGTTCTTTCATTTGGGAAAATTTTCTTTGTCTCCACATTTTGGCTGCTTCTCTATGTTTGTTTCTATGTATTAGGTAGAACTGCTATGTGTCCCAGACTGGGGAGATTGGCCATTTGTAGTAGGTGTCCTGTAGGGCCCAGTGGCTCAGC